GTGAATATTATATATTTTATTTGACATTTTCGCATTGGCTTACATAAAATACATACAGTAGTATTTTGTGAATAAATAAATATGAACTACGCCAAATGTTTTACCCTGCTCACATCGTGGGTCCACAAACAATTTGTTAGCGCATACAATTTACTGCTCTCACGGCAAAGTAATGAACTCTAACAACTGGGCACCATTTCAGTGTTCTCGTGGCAAATCCTAGTTTGATATACGAGTACGAGTAAAACAAAATATCTATTAAATGCGATTTTATTAGGTTCGCGAGCAATTTTTGCCTTGTTGACTAGAATTTGCACCACCAATATGTGGAGCAGCCCATTAAAGTACATACATATGTATATTCAAACCAATTCGACGAATATTTAAAAGCGTACCGATACTTAAAAAGTCGGCAACGTGTTAGCAAGAGTGTGGCAGTGTGTGTCCATGGGCGGCGATATCACTTAACGGATCACTATCTTATGATCCTACTGTTCTTTAAAAAATATCATCTTATTAAAATCAACAAAATAAAATCAAGCTAAAAATCATCAGAATCTTAGTTCTGATTAGATGTTTTGTCATCATATTAGGTATGGCCTTACATATGAAATTGGCGTTTTGAATGGGAGGAACAAAAAGTAGATTTTTTTAAATAGAATATATTTAATTAATCTAAGTATGTACCATTGCTATATATACTTTTGCCATCTTATAGGAATTTTTATTGGTCTTTTTCACACAAAAAAAACAAGTTGGTTTTTAGAATAATACAAATAATAATAAAACAAATGAACAATTTTGAATTTTCTTTCGGTTCCAATGTTACAACACTTTAGCGATAAACAAACAGATTATAAAGGGACTGCAGAAATAAAATCAACCAATCACTAATAGACAATTCTGTTTCACATGTACATTTTTTATATGGCAATGTTCCGCAATTATATAAATTCCGCATAATTAAAAAAAAAAATCTTCGATGTTCTTTTAGATTTAAGTCGGTTATAGGCAACCCTAAGGTCGCCCACACAGCCCTGCGATTCTGTAACTCGCTTCACACACTCGCAGCGCTGATTTTTGCTGTCAAATCGTTCGTTTCGGTGTCATGTTACAATTTGGTATTCTGATAAACAATAACCGCGACAAAAGCGCCGCTCAAATGAGATTGTTCACATTTGGAACTAAAATTTGGCACTGCTACACTTACGCTCCAAAATTGTTGGTATTTGGTATTCTGATACATACCATTTGACATCTCATCTCACTTAAATGTACATTTTGATTATTTTAGCATTAAAAATATCATTTTTATCCTAGAACCAATTTTTCGATGCAGTCTTGATCATGTCTTGTCTCCAGCAGAGATAAGTCGAACAGAAAACGATAAATAAGTTAAGATAGGTAAATTTTGTAATATATTTGTATTTTTCTACTATACTAAAATTATAAATCTCAATAATTTCAGAGATCCCCAAATGTTCAAAATTCCTGAAAGAAAAATACATTGTGCCTTTGAAGAAGAAGAATATTACATTTGTATCATATGACAAGGCCCCTGGATATAAAAAGACACAATAGTGCAGACATTTTCAAATTATTGAATTTGGACTACTTATCCTTCAATTTATAATAAATGATAACACAGTACAATTTCGGTTCCTATATTTTTATAAAATATATTGATATAACATTAAGGTTTTGGATAAAAACATTATTCTGCTTTACACAAGTATGAAATACCATCATTACATACATGATGGTTTAAGTACTTATTAAGCTTTTTTAAATTTATCGTTCATAACTATTACTTTTTACAAACTAATTAGGAAATATATTTGTCTACAAAATAAAGTAGATGTTATTGATTAACTCTATGTGAGGCTGGGTTTGAATTAGTTTTTATTATACTTAAGTTTGTTTTACTGAAAGTTATTTTGTAGTGTGTTAAAAGTTTACTATAATCATTAAATTAAATGTGTAAGTTATTATATTGTTCTTTTATTAACCTATAAAGTAACATGGCTTATATATTTTTCATTTTGGTTTAGCTATGTATTTAACTCGGTTACTACGTTTTCTATAGGCAGTCATTAAATAAGTGGTAGAATTAATTAATCATTTTATTAATATAACAATATTATTAGATACAAAAAAAATTATTATGAAGTACACAATTATCTTAAACACAGTAATACAATTTTTCATATAAAAATCAGTTGTCCAAACTGCATTCAAAATAGATTAGTGGTCTCGGTTTAATATCTCTTCTTAACATTTCAATAATTGGTAATTTTCTTCCTCATTCTTGACAACTACCGCTAATGGCTGTAATACAATGGTTATCTGTTAAAATTATAAATAGGGAGATGTGGTAGGTCACTGTACTGACACAATAATATTGCGTAGCAATTGAATTATTGTAAAGTAAGGAAAATAATAAAAAAACTTGCATAAAACACACAAAAACTTATACATGGGATATCTTTGCATTTCTAAG